ATTTTTTCATTAAAAATGTTTTACTTATATTTTTAATACCTAGTTAACTTTCTCAATTTTTAACTATTGGTATTTAATACAATCTAAAATTGGACTTTGTTAACTTTATAAGCTATTTGTGTCAATTTAATAGCTCTATAATCTATACTGTATAAATGTGTACAACTTACTAAGCTTTTTTATACAGTTATATCCACAACTGTGAAAAGTACAAAATGTCACACCAAAATTACAAAATGTTAATCCAAAAGGGCACATTACCAAACCATTATAGATTCCTATATAATTATTCACATTACGTTTTATTATTTTAGATAGTTACTACTTACTAGTTAAAAGTTACTAGGGTGGTTTTTTATACCTTTAATATAGATTGTACTACAGTACGTAGGACATTTTGTAAATTAATACTATACATTATAATTTATAGCTAACAATTATTGATGTATCTAACTTCTGTCAGCTAATAAGTGTAAGAAAATATTTGAAACCATCAAATTAACATATCAATTGCTACCAATTATAATTTATCCACAAATATAATAACTTAGGTATATCAATACTATTTATAGGTATAGTCACATAGGGAGGTAGGTGGAATAATAAGGTAATATTGTTACACACACTACGTCCATAAACTATCATGTATAAGTAACCAAAATCTAAAAACATAAATAATTATAAACATTTTAATATATTTTATATAATTGCATATTATACAGCCGTGAAAGTTTTATCTAATATGTAATAATACAACTACCTATTGGCTATTCGCCATTGCTAATATACTGCTACAAACGTGAATGTTATAAAATTAAAACAAAACAAAACTAAGTACTAAACTAAAGATGAATTGACTAAAGAAAATGATTTAACCGCAACTCATCGCAGCGTCTTATTAATCATTAACACTTAAAGATTACAAAAAACATCCAAATAGAAAAAAGATGATTTCTCATAGAGCCAAGTAATATCAATGTGTTACATTTAATTTATTTAATGAGTTACCATTAACTACAAAAAATATATTTTAGGCTAAGCAATTATAACGAAGTAGGTTAGCAATAAAAAGCATACAAATTAAATAATCACTGTAAAACATTCTCAGTTTCTCACCGCTCCAAAAGTTAGAAAAGGTTATATATTACGTTTACATCGTTTTTAGACGATAATTAAGGAATTGATTATTTTCTTTTCATTCTTTTATATTATATATTAATTCCAAAATAAAATGAGTTGATATATTATTTTGTCATAATAGTACAAATGTACAATCGTAATCAAACATTTTTTTTCCAATTAGATAAATAGGTACAATGGTTATCATGAAATAACAGTTAAAAGGTTTTTGTGATAGATTTTATGCTGTTATTTATTTTATAATAAAACTATATATAGGTACCTAACTTAAGTATAATGGTCAGCAATTACACGTTTTTTGTACATTGTACATTGATATTTTTCTTACGCATATATTATTTCACCTAAACTATAAGTTATACCAATAGGTAGATGGTAGGCAATAAGTTAAATAATATTTTTTTTAATAATTAAACGATTGTGAACAGTGAGTTGTATGACAAAAATATAACGAATTAGTAGGAATAAGCAACATAAACGTTTTTCATTTAATAGTTAACACTTATAATCTCAAACTGTATTCTTTTTTAAAATTTTTTTTTCTATCATTTTTAGATCATTATATTACAAAAAAAAATATGGTTTTACAAATGGTATTGACATATTGATCTTTCTTTTTAATTCTTACATTTTTAAATGGCGAAGATTTCGGTTGATAAAAGTCGCATTTTAAACGAGTATAGTAGTATACGTAATTAGTTATTTAAAGTTTATATGAGAGGAGTGGGTGGCACAAGGGTAGTCATACTCTACAAAATGTTGGTCTACTACTTAGTTCATCTAAACATTAAATAATTCTAAAAATGACTACAGTAAAAAGTTGTAAAAAAATATTTCTTTTATTCAAAAATTTCGTTTTGTAATAATTTCAAATTATGTGAAAAAAATATTTTGACTGTTTACTACAATCACAAAAAAAGACCCAGATAAGTTCAACCTCTACAATTTTTGTTTTTATTAAAATACGGCTTTGTATATTATCAGTTGTCACAAATATAGAAAAATATATTTATTAGCAAGGTAGGTACTTTATCAATTTTGCATATTCAGTTGTCTCCATACGGCTACACCCAACTACATTGGATATACAGATCAATGATCACACTACTTACCATAGTAATTTAATATTTGTAGCCTTGCCTTGTAGAAACTTATAGTTGTAATATTTTATTATATTATTTTGTACAAATAATTTTTTTTTCTTTGAAGCAAGAATGAAGTACGATATTGCGAATATCGGAATATCGGTTATGGAACAGTTAGGTACAGAGAATCACTAAATAATTGCTCCGTCTCGTTTCGTTTCGTTCACCTCGGTTAGTGATATATGATTATTTTAAATGTTGAATTAGTAATTGAACAATTGAACAATCATTGCAAGCAACGTATTCGTTAATCAACTTTTCAATTCACAAACAAAATTCTAAGAACAAATATGTTCAGAATTCGGGACTGTGTGTACCTACAGTAAATACATTTATAAAACACAAAATCATGTATTTGATCTGAATAAGATAAAATATTTAAATACCTAATAATTTAGTTGTCTGAACATAATTTGCTATTATTCTAACTCTTGACCTTTGAAATTATTTTATTTTAATTACCTGCTTAGGATTAAGGTAGGTAGTAGGTACTAACCATATATTTATTATTTTATTTGTGTTGACTTTGGACTGATTATAAGTAAAGTTGACTAGTGATTAATGATTATCATAATAGCTACGTTAGCTGTTTAGACACCTATAAAATAGACAGCACTTACCGGCTCCTACCACATATTTTCTTAAACAAGCAATTAATATTTTTCCAATATTGTAAATATTTATTATTACACATAATGCAATTAGTTATATAGATAAAAGACCCTAAAATTTACAAATGCCCAAATCTCGCTGACATATGTTAAATATCAGAAAAATTCAATGTACGAACATACATAGACAACGTACTTAATTTCAAGTTTATTTGAAATCAATTCGCTCTAATAGCTCTAAAGCTAATAACACGAGATTAGTACTGATGAACGTTCAACTTACATTTACTGTGTAATACGTTTGTAAGAAGAATACAAAACATGCGGGTGTGGCATCCTCTTAAAGGACATAACCCCTTCCAAACTACTTATAAAAGTTATAAGTCTCAATAATATGATACACGTATATGTGTATGAAAATCTTCCTAAATCCCAATATTGGTAAAAACTAAAAACCATTCAATACCTAGACCTCCACAATTTTCGCTGTTTGAGCTAAATATGGGCACAAGGTTGACCATCATCAATGATTTATAAAATGCAATGAAATCGTATTCTGCAGAGTTCACTATTTCACCTAAACAAAGTAAAATTGAAATAAAATAAAATTACAAAATTGTTATTTAATACACATACCTTTCATATCTACGACTACAATAGATTATATATAGAAAACGATAATATGATAATAATAATATTTGTAATTTGAGATAAATTACTCAACACTACTATACTAAATTTTGCTTAAAAGTGAAAAACGATAAGAATGTAGGACGGCCAAAGAACCTGAATGCTATTTTAGAATTATTGTCACAATAATATAGTGTATTAAACTATTAAAGATTAAACCATTACACGGACGTACGTCGTCCACCCATTGATTACAATACAGGGTGTCCCGTGAGGAATGAGGATATACCCATTAGCCGTGAAAGGGGACTCGCCGCCTAGACAATAACCGGTTTTTACTTTTTTACAGTTTTACCATAAAAAATCATGTAATTAATGAAAATAAAATGTTGAAATGTCAAAATGTTCAGAAAAATAAACTCTCTAAAATGAATATCTTCAATTGTTTCAAAAATAAATAATTAAGCTTTTTAACTTTTTTACCAAAAAATAAAATAAATGTAATCCTTGTCGCTGTGAGACTAATAAAAAAAAACAGATTTATGATATTTACTATCTCAGGAGATTGGAGATATCACTATGGGTAAATCCTCATTGTGCACCCTCTATGTACGTCCTGTATTTTACCATATTATGTTATGTGCATACCACGATCAAAGATAGGTATATAACCATATAGGTACTAAATAAAATATATTATATCTATAGTCGTGGTGTATACATGATATTATAAATTTTAATCTATGACTAATTTGTAGAGATTAATGATTATATAACTATATTATTATAATGTATTAATGTCCATCTGAAAGATTACCCAGCCATAGTGCACGTCATGAACAAGTACAACTACTTAAAGCTAATCAAAATTAATAATTTTAATAATTATTATTATTTAATAACTAATTTCACAGTCATACAAGACCGTGCCTAATTTAATGCTGCATTAGACAGTCGCGGGACGTGCGTACAATGATTTAAATTTTAAATAGTCTACTCGGACAGCAGAGATTTAATTTCTTTTTTTCTTTCCGACGAGGGCCCCCTGAGGGGACACGTATACACAACACGTCGTCACGATATCAATGGAAATTGATACACCGCACACACGTGTTGGGTGCGCGCGCACACTGTAAGGTTATGTCTCGAGTGCTGTGGCCGAACAAATACAATAATAATAATATGATAGAAAATAAGAGTTAACTATGTAAAAAAAAAAAATCACGACATACGGGCTTACAGTGTACACTCATCTACAGAGGGCATTGAGCGATACAAACGACATACGTCCACAGAATAAATTCCAATTTTTTTCTGTAATACGTCTTTGCGTACGATACTACGTACGATAGTACGATAAACGATTACGATACTAAACAGTAAACTTGTGCAGTGCTGGTGTGGCACCGAATGACGGGAGTAAAGTGAATTTAATTAGTATAAGTAAATATATACATTTTTTTTTTCCTTAATATTATTATTATTTACTCACTATCTTATCTGTCATAATTCGTCAATATAATTGTTGGAGTGGAATCATTATAATTATTGTAATCGGTCCTTATTGTTGTATCATTTGTCCCCTCTCCGGTGTCGAACGTTAAAAAAATCTTTTAAAACTATTTTTCAACCATTGTCCATTGTTCGGTTTACTGAGTTTCGGTTAGCAACTGAAATAGGTGCTAACGTAGTATTTTGTTTACAATTTTCATTTTCAATTTTTCCATACATTTTTCTTACTTGTAAAGACCGTATGATGACAGAATAACCATGTCCGATTACTGTTTAGTGGTGAGAATGACGCCCTGGGGCGATCCCTTTGACCATGCATTCTAATATATAAATGGTGAATTTTTTGTAGCCCACCATGGATGAGTCGCATCCCAGGCCGACTGAAACTACAGGCTTGTCAGGGAAAGTTGAAAAAGAAGAAAAAGTTCATATTCCTGAATCAAGCTCGGTATGTCATTGAAATAAATGCATTTTTCTTACGAAATACTAAAATGCCTTAAAAAAATCTAGGTATATTGAGTTTATTCTTATTTTATAGGCGGGATTTAGTTTTCGGAAACTATGGGCATTTACAGGGCCTGGATTTTTGATGAGTATTGCCTACCTTGATCCAGGCAATATAGAATCAGACCTACAGTCTGGTACGACTGCCAGGTACAAGGTATAATCAAATTTATAAAATTCCATAGTAACTTAGTACCTATGCATTTAGATTTATTTTAAATATTATTTATTAATTGAGAGTTTAATTTATTTCATTATAGTTACTATGGGTGTTAATGAGTGCTACCATTTTGGGTTTGGTAATGCAACGACTATCAGCTCGCTTAGGTGTTGTTACCGGCCTTCATTTAGCTGACATGTGTTATCGCCAGTACAGAAAAGCTCCAAGACTATTTGTTTGGCTAATGATGGAAGTTGCTATCATTGGTTCAGATATGCAAGAAGTCATCGGCACTTCAATTGCAATTTACTTATTGAGTAACAAAATGTAAGCCTAAAGTTTGTTTATGGTAAATTTTACTATAATGGCAGTGGGAAGCCGAGTAAAATAATGAGTGTCTGTTTTTAATTAACTAACCTGTCTTATTTTAAGTCCTAAATCTACAAGCTCTTAATATTAGTATATCATATTAATATGTAATATTTTATGATATAAATGTAGAGGGTAAACCACTATTAGGTAATTTTTGCACCTAATTTCAGATTTCCAGAAATGATTACCAGAAATAACTAAATGTTCCTACACTGATTTTAAGTAATTATTTGGCCTAGTATAATGTTAAATATTACTAATTACTCTATAAATTTGATTTATTTAAATTAATATTTATTCACTCAACTCGTTCAATCATGTACCTAAAGAATATTGTATAAATAAATAGAATACATTTAAGTATGTATAAATTATTTTTATGCTTATTCTGATTTCTGATACCTTTGCATTATCTGTATTAGGATATAATATTAATTATTGAAATAACACAAATATATTTTCTTCATTTTGTGTCATACAATCTGTTTAAAACTGTGTAATCAGTAAAAAAAAAAAATATATATATATTACTCTTATATTTTACTTTTAATATTATAGTAGTATGGTTGGTATTACTAACCAGTTAATATTTATATTCACAATACAGCTTTATTTATATCATAACAATTTCTGAATAACTGTGTCTATACACTACCTAAATATGCTTATTCTCAGAGACAAGCCAATAAAGAGGTGGTGTAACACCCTTGAATCGTTTTTTAAGATCATCCCTGCTTACTCTGTGGTATTATGGTTAAAAACAATGCATAACACTATTATATTTTATAAATTAAAATATACTCAAACTATTAGAATTATGATTTGTTTTTTTTCACATGTCATTCTTGTCCGCTATTACTTTAACCTAAAATGTATTATCATATTAAAGATTTACAAAAAAAATTGTCAAGCTAGACTTTTCAGTACTTTATACTCTAACTACTTTGATATAGTGATCTGATGCTTAGGCTTACATTGCATGTTACCTAGTGTGTTAATATTTTCTTGAAACTAAATTAATATTTAAAATTCTTGTATCGAATTTACAGTATGTATATTTTTTGGCCTTTACTTAAATTTGGAATCAGTATAATAATCAGAAAAAACAATATAACAATTAATTTAGGATACCACTTTGGATAGGAGTGCTGATCACTGTCATTGATACTTTATCTTTTTTGATGCTGGACAAGTATGGACTTCGAAAATTGGAACTAGTGTTTGGTCTATTCATTGTTATAATGGCATTGTCATTTGGATATGAGGTATTAAAAATGTCATCAAATTATTTTTCTAGTTATTATTTTTAACTCTTAAAGTTATATATGTATATTTGAGTTGATTATTCTTTCTAGTTTGCAATTGTTCAACCTGATATAAAAGATATGGCTAAAGGATTGGTTACTCCTTGGTGTTCAAACTGTCAAGAATCTGCTCTTCTTCAGGCTGTCGGCATTATTGGAGCAATCATAATGCCACATAATCTTTACTTACATTCAGGCCTAGTCAAGGTAAATATAATAATAATAATCATGCATTATTTAAATTGTCAAATTCAATATGGTTTCATGAAATCATCCATATCATTGATATATCATACACTCATATTATGTGATTAATGTTTGAATCAAATAATAAATTAATACAAATATTTTATTCTGAAACAGTTAAATCCTTAAAAAAGAAAAAAATCTTCCAGTTAACAAAATATTTAAAACTAGTAATATTAGTTTTTGATAGTTACTTTTAAAAATTGAGTTGTTGATATATTATTATATACAGTCTTCTACATATTACTTGCTTTAAATTAAATCTCAACCATAAAACTTGCTTATATTTGATTATTTTCATAATTTAGTGAAGAAATCATTAAGAATATTTTAATCTAAAATTTGTATTTTCTATTTAGTCTAGAGAAGTTGACAGAACAAAAAAAGACAAATTACGAGAAGCCAACTATTATTTTTTTATCGAATCTAGTGTTGCTTTATTTGTATCATTTGTTATCAATGTGTGTGTTGTATCAGTTTTTGCTCATGGATTATACAATAAGACAAATAGTGATGTGGTAAGTTATACATTTTATTTTTATTACTAAATTTTGATTCTTTAATTATTTGTATATAGTTAGAGATCTGTACCAAGAACAATAACACATATTCAGATATTTTCCAAGTGAGATAAAAATCAATTGAATTAACATATATCATAAGTATTAACTATTAATTTATTAATAATTAAAACCATTTTAGAATGATACCCAATTAGTAGAAGTTGACATATACAAAGGTGGGGTATTCCTTGGTTGTCAATTTGGCATAGGCGCCATGTATATTTGGGCAATTGGTATTTTAGCTGCCGGTCAAAGTAGTACAATGACCGGATGTTATGCTGGACAATTTGTAATGGAAGTATGTAGTATCAATTATTATATAATTATTCATAATTCACGAATAGTATACATTTTAGGGCTTTTTAAACCTCCAATGGAGCCGATGGAAAAGAGTTGGGTTTACTCGACTTGTTGCTATAGCACCCACTTTTTATGTGGCATTTTTTAGTAATATTAATGACTTGACTGGTATGAATGACCTATTAAATGCGGTAATGAGCTTACAACTACCATTTGCTACACTTCCAGTCATTGCATTTACTAGTAATCCTCGCATTATGGGAGAGTTCACCAATGGATTGTAAATATAATTTAAATAAAAAGCCTCTATGTAAATAATTTTAAATTTCTACTGTTTATTTATTTTCAGGGGAAATATTTTAATAACAATTGTTTTGTCTGTTATTATTATAAGTATAAATATATACTTTGTAATCCATCATACTATCACAAATTTCACTTACAATTTGACTTTATTAATTGGAGTTTTGACGTATAGTACAATTTATTTATTAATGTGTGCATATCTTACACTGCATCTAGTTATCAGTATGCTGGACGATTGCAGTGTGTTACGTAGAAATCCGGTAAGAATTATTATTTTAGTATTAATACATTTAACATATTTTGGTTTACAGTCATTTATATGATTTGATAATTAATTTAAAAATAAATTTTAGTTTGTTATTAGATTTATTGGTCCACAAATCGGGAACACTTTTTCTCAACATCAACAAACAAATTCTTCTCCTCCTAGGTAATAAGTTTAAGTATTTATAAAATATGTAAGATAGCAATTTAAATATTTATCGTTTGTTCAATATAAATTATCAACAGTTATTTTGTTCTTAAGAGGATGTTATTCCCTCATGTGTTAACCTCTGCTTACAAACTCATACAATTTCATAACTTTCTCCAAAATTAAAATATTTAAAAGAAGGTTACATGGAACTCTGACTAATATTCTTGCCTTTAAGTTTTATAGCATTTAGTAGGTTGAATCGCTCTAGTATTAAAAATACATAACAGAGTTTAATGGATTCTTCTAAATGTAAAATTTGTTATTTTGTGTATTAATAAAATAGAGTCAACACATTCGACACAATGTCCTTTAAGTTAATTTACTAAAATAATCTAACCAGTTTATGGTTGACTATAACAACAATTATATTTCAATTTTTTTTTTTAACAGATAATTTATAATCAATTTAAAACATTATTGTTTAGTTATACATTTATTATTTAATAATACTGTTATTTTTGTAATATACTTCTTTTCTATTAATTTAATAATAAGTTAATTTGTCCCTGATTGTTAACCTGATATGATATAAATTATCATATAAATTGATATGTAAAACATATTTTATCAAAATTAATAATTCAACAACTATGTATTTAAAAATGTTGAAAACAATTTTAATTTTATTAATTTGAAGTTAAAAGTTGATAATATAAAAAAATGTAAAACACTGAAAATTAAGTGTTAAGTTAAAACTTTTAAAATCTTATTAAAAATGATATATCTGTTACAACTGTTGTTTCTTATCTGCATGCATATGTTTGGGAATTATTATTAAGATTTTACTATATGTCTGGTTAATTCAATTTTGTAATAATTTTTTGTGTAATTCGGTCATTTCTTTAAATTACAGCAAAATATTTTAGTCTAATTAAATTGTATTTTTTTATTAAAATAATAGCAGCCAAGATGACATAACAAATATCAAGCTATAATAATGAATAATGTTGGAATGTTGTTGCATGTGTCAAAAGGATTGTACTTAACACCGTACGACTAGCAAGTATATAACTAATATAATTAATGCATAAATGCATAAATGCTTATTTGCTAATCTAGATGTTGGACACAGATATCTGAGAATATTTTTTGTGTGGTACCCAATAATATATTATTTTAATTTGAATGAAAATAGACAAAATCGTTATTGTTAAAAATGTTGGGTGGGTCCAACCTCACTCCCTAGATAAGCGATCTAGCGATCAGTGGTCCAAGAAGAAATTTTGTTGGTTGAAAAAACATTTGATCAATATTTTAAATTTTATTTTATTAACCTTTCAGCGATCTATGCTGAATAATCATTTTGTCCCCAAATATTGTGGTGTGTCAGTTTAGTTTGGTAAACAGTACATAAGAATATTTTTCAGCATTTTTTCTGATCAGAAAGAGAATATAGATAGTGCATAGGTATGTGAGGTCAAAATTGAAAATTCTCAATGTTTTTCAAAAATGTCGGTAAATGAAAAAAAAAATTCAAGAAAAATGGGAGTATCGCATTTTAACGAAATTGATTTTATCTTTTTGGTGTAACTTGAAAACTAATAACCTTAGAGATTTTCACAAAAAAAGATTGAAATAAGTTTTTTTGATAGCAACTTAAAAATATCAATAGAATTTTCTACATTTTCTACCTTAACATAAAAAAGTTAAGCTATTTTAAGTAATAGTTGAAATTCCTGTTAATGAATTGTATATCTTAAATTCCTTGAAAAATATGATTACACTCAAATAATTTTTTTTTATATCTTATCAAAACCTTCAAATTTTTATATTTTTTTAATGTGCAAAATTATTACATCTTTATATAACTCGTGTTTTAAATTATTATTTCATAAAACTTACAATTGAAATGTTAAATACTATAACTGTTCAGAGTTGGTCTAATACAGATATTAAGTTTTACATGAATGATACAATTAAATAATAATTACATGCTTATTGCTTATAGTTGTATGTTTATTGGTCAAAACATTTTCTCGGGTTTAACAGGACTTTCCGTTTACTCTATAATTAAACAAAGCCTTAACTGCCGAAGGAAGGGTTCAGGCGTCTGGACTCCCTTTCCAGACATTTTTAGAAGTAGAAAATAGCAGTAATAATGTTAATTGTCCATTGGGTTAAGATTAATTTTATATTTTTGTTAAACCAATAACAAGGAAAAGAGTTTATATTTTGAACTAAAAAATTAGGAGTATTGAAATTAGGAAAATGTACTCACAGAATTTGTTTTCAGTTATGGCCTTAATAGCTTTTAAAACCATTTATATGCGTATTACTTTAAATAATGTATATATTGTATATGTTTTTTGCAATTCAGAAAATACGAGAAAAACATGGTGGGCAACATTATCTAATAGAAGAATTTGTGATCTTCTATTTTAGATTTTTTGTTTGCTATGAACAATATTATATATTTAATTACTATTAATTTATTTTCAAATTGCCTGCATTTTTATTTTTAGTTATGACTAATGGAAAATGTTTTTTCTTTAGTTTTTATTATAATTATTATGATTAATAATACAAATGAGTACATTTTGGCTTTCAAATAGTTAATGCAGGCTATAAAAATCTGAAATTATCATAGTATGTGAATGTATAAAAATTTAATGAAATAGTGATAAATATAAACATAAATGTGCGCATGTGTATGTGTGTCTAAATTTAAACAACTTACTATATTTATTATTATTTTTTTTTTTTATCATTTTTGAAACATGTATTTATTACAAAGTGTATATTTATTGTATTTTATACAATACAATAATAATTTTAAGGTTATTCAAATTTGAACAAACCTATATAATTAAACATAAAAAGAAAGTTCTATACGTAAATAGTTTTTATAATAATTATTAAATATTTCCATCTTAAATGTATCCATTATTATTATTTTTCATAACAATAGAAATTATTACATTGTATTCAAAATAATGTCTATTAATCCAATCAATGTGTCATGTGGAGACAAGAAAACTTATATAACATGTGATAAAAAAAATTGTTATAGAAATTATGTTTTAATTAGATAAATTTATTATTTGTTATAAAATACTAGATAGTTACCTTTATTTATTGAAATGTAAATTATATTTTTTGATTAAATTATAAATTATATGTATATAATTTTATAAAAAAAAATGTATTTTTGTCTTTTACTCTATGATACAAATGTATACTTAATTGTATATACCTACTTGGTGAAATTACTTATATAAAAACAATTAATGTTACCCTATTTATTACTGTAATTTTTTAGAGCACATTCATACATTTTTTATACAAATTTTGTACAAGATGATTTTATGTGCAATGGAAATTATTAAGTTATTTTAAAAAATACTACAACATAATGTTAAGTATACAAAAATTAGACTCAGTAAAAATAATTTGTAACATAAATATGTAAGTTAGACCACAAATATTTTATTTATGATTTTTTAATGTACTTATATTTTTATTTTGGCCATTTACTTAACAAATATATTATATAATATGTACTCAACTTGTTATTTTCCCAAGGTATTCAAATTATAATAGACTTTAAACCTATAAATAATATTAGATGTGTACAAGTCTATATTATTATATTGCATTATGGTGTGAAGCTATGCATGAGGCTAAACTTACATAACCATGGAAAAAATGGTTTGAATTCAACTAGGTGTACCAAAATTAGTGGCATAAAGGTCAATACCATGAAGAATGATATCTTTATTCTTCGTGGTCTATAGATTTTCAAAAAGAGAGCTATTGGGAAACGAGTATAATGTATTCTAAAATTTGCATCTTATTCGCCATAACCTCAAGACTCAAAAGGAATGAATTTTACTAGCAGTGTTCACGACTTCTAGCATTTGCATATTCCAATTATTCTGAGATATTTCTGTATGGTTTAGTAAAACACATTCACAATCATTTTTTATAACTAAATCAATGTTAAGGCATTAAATAATTTGATTTTTTTTTTTTAATTTAAAAGGACACTGTACTCACTATAAATTGTCATTGTTTGATACAGCTAATCCATGTACCGGATTTACTTACTAAGTTAATATTTGAACAAATTTACACATTGAATTTGTAGAGGAACTAATAAATAGCCGAGTGAATTTATTTTTCATATTCAAATTTTAAAATTAGTCATAAGTAGACATTTATTTAAATTTATAAAAATAAATAAAAAAGTACTTAAATAATTCATTTTCAAATTCATATAGGTAACTCGTTATAAAGTGACCTTATATAATCTAAGAAAGGTACTACCACTGGTCTTTTATTGCCCCGCCTCAGCACATAAAAATGTTATCATTCCACCATTCATAAATTTCATACAATATAAATTGTTAAAAATTATAAAAACAGACAAAGATTTTAAATAAAGAAAATATTGTATGATTTAATTTAGAATTATAATAAATAAATTAGTACAGTATCACAGTGGAGTTCAAAGTTCTAAATTATCTAATAAAATGTGTTCAAGAGGACTAAGTGTCAGCCCCCCAAATAGGACTTAAGGAAATCATTCCGATATGTCCATGGTTTCCTCATTTAAAAAACATCTCAAGTTTTGGGATCACAAAGTTGTAGATATAGTTAACTTGATCATGATAATAACCGACCTCTTCAATATTGTAAGATTTATTGCGGTTCAAAATTATTATAAAATAGGTACCACCATTTTTATTTAATGGTCAAATAAGCAAATCGATTGATTATATTACAACCACAGAATAATTCAATAATTTGTTATAGCTAACAAGTTATAGATAAAAGAAAAATTGAGCTCAAATATTTCTACTATTAGACCACTACTAAATAATAACTGTAAGAGTGCAGTTTTGTTTGTTAAGCTTAGTTAGCCACCGGTGATCTAAAATATTGGAAGCTTGTAATACATTACATATTTGTATGTATTGTAAGGAAAATATTTATTTATTCATCTGCTTATACAATCATTAATTATATATAAAACTATTTAAATGATATAATATTATGTATACCTTATTTGGTCAATTTTAGATGGTATTTTTTTTACAAATGTTATATAATTAACAAAACTTAATTAAGTCATAAATATATAATTTTTTTTAAATATGTACATAGTAATAATATTTTTAAACATGAGATGCTTGGTTAATGTAATACAAACTAATATGTATTGTTTATGAAGGCATTCAATGATTTTAAAAAATGTATATGAGAAAATGAATGTATAATGTATTACAATTTTACTATTTTAGTCAAAATGATGTTACAATTCTCAAGGTTAAGTAATAGTCTCGTGAGTTTTTTTTAATAAAACCACCCATACATTTAAAAATGTACATAGTAAATGTATTTTTTATCAAGATTTAAATTTAGTTGATTGAAGGTGTTACATTTCCTTTCCATTGTATTTCAATGTATGGCCACTTAGATTGTAAACAAGATTGCAAGTTGTTGTCCTCAGATATGCATATAACATCAGATTCCTGGATTATAGCATTACCTTCTAAATATGTCACCTTTGAATTAGGATTGGATCTTGGTTGTCCGTTGTAATGAAATACCACAAAAACATCTGGAGTTCTGGCTTCTGGTTCAGAAAAAAATTCTTCCATAAACGATGGCATTAATATGATACCTAGCCCTTCAGAATCCAATTTTGTAGACATCAGATTTACACTGAAAAATCAATCGTATCATATTTCATAATCTATACTGCAACAAAATAAATTACTTACTATTCATCATCAGACACAAGGTCTAATTTTTCCAATAATGGCTTTAGATGTTGAGTACTAATGAAATTATTTCCATCTTGATCAAACAACTTAAATGTTCGTCTAGCAATATCAGCTTGTGTTTCTTTTCCAACCAAGTTTTGGTTAAATGAAAACAGAACTGAAATAGTGTACAGATTATATATACGTTAAAAAAAAATAAATAAAAATTGTCTCCAATACCAGTAAGATGTGTATCACTGCCCAACACCCAGATTGGGTTACATGGATTTTTTAA